AGGAGGAGAGGAGAGGAGGAGGAGGAGGAGGGGGCGGAGGAGGAGTGGGAGGGGAGGAGGAGGAGGCGGAGGAGGAGGAGGAGGAGGGAGGAGGAGGAGGAGGAGGAGGAGGAGGGAGGAGGAGGAGGAGGAGAGGGGAGGAGAGGAGGAGGAGGAGGGAGAGAATGCGGAGAAGGGGGCGGGGGTAGAGGGGGAAGAGGCAAGCGGGGGTGCGTCCCTCCCGCCCATCCCCTCCCACCCTGCGCTGATTTTCCCTCTTTCCGCCGACGGGTGTCACTGGGAGCTCCAAGCGAGTACCATCGCGTTGTGAGCCATCGGAAAGGAAGAACTGTGTACCTGGAAGAAAATATGGCGGAGGAGGAAGGGTGGGGAGGCAGATACGGCACATATGTTTGATACATATGTAGATGTATATGTATATTTTTATATATATATATGTATATACATATATGTTTTTATGCATACATACACACATACATATACACATATAAAGATAGAGAGATAGAGAGAGAGAGAGAAAGACAGAAAGAGAGAGAGAGAGAGAGAGAGAGGGAGAGAGAAAGAGAGAGAGAGAGGGAGGGTGGAAGCAAGCTAGGTGCGGTCGCGCAATATCTAGCCTCCTACCCTTCCCACCCATGCCTTCCCTTTGCGCTGTTCTTTCTCTATCCGCCGACCTGTGTCATAGCGGTCCTGGAACTCCAAAGGGCACCTCATCGTGTAGTGCACAATGAACAAAAAGCTGCGTACATGTGCGGAGGAGGGGTATGTAGCGGATGAACAGGAAGATGAGCAGGAGGAAAAGGATGAGGATGGGGAGCGAGGACGAACAGCAGCAGCAACAGCAGGAACTGGAATGGAAGGAACGGGGGGAGCAGCAGGATCAAGGGACGGCGGAGGAGGGAACATGTGGCGGCGACAGCGAGGGACAAAAAGATACAGAAAAGTGGCCCGCACGGGGGCGCGAAGCACCGATCCGAAAATGAGGCCCGCGTTGCAGCGGGAGCACCACTTTGAAACACCGAAAAACTCGGAGTGTAGAGCACATCAGAAAACATGTGTCCAATCCTGTGTAAACAGCAATGCGCGGAGAGGGCGGGACATCTTCTGGACAGAGTCAGGGGAGAGAAGGGGGAGCAGTATTCATATTGAACAATCGTGGAGGTGGAGGGCTGGATGGCGAAAGGGGGGGAGGCAGAGTGACTGAGGAGGAATGGTGGTGGAGGACGAGAAGACGAAGAAGTGGAGGACGATTCTGAGCGGCCGGCGGGGCGGGGGTGTGGTGGGTTCCGCCTCGGCGGCTCCTTGACCTCCAGCGCGAGCAAGTCCCGCAACGCCCCCTCCGACGGCTGTGCGCCCCGCGGAGCCTCCTGGTCGGGTGGAGGGAGCGGGGGGGGGCGCGGGGCGGTGCGGCAGGGGGCGCCGCCAGACCAACGCTCGGGCCTTCGTCAACAGGGGGGGAATGCACCGCGCTCCGCCGAGCTGTCGCTGGCGTGGTGGACGCAATCTGTCAACCTCAAACGCCGCATCCCTGGACTCTATTTGCACAGGCTCCATCGATAACCAATCCTCCATCGCCTGGACACGCAAGCTGGCCAATACTACGAGGCCCTGAACCGGGCGGGTTTCCAGCAGTGCTTGGGCAAACGCCCCACTGCAATCCACCCGATGCCTCGGCGCCGACGTGAACACGCCGAGACGCCTAAACAGGCCGTCGATCCGCTACCTGAGATCACACCCCTTGACTGGCGTTTGGGCCCCCTCGGGGCTCGCCCACCCCGCAGTTGAACAATGCGGTCGCGTAAACATGCGACACCCTACCAGGGCGGGCGGGCAGGAAAATACCTCAACAGGTCAATCCCTGAGCGCAAATGGGCATGGCAGAGAGCGAGCGAGAGCAGCAGCTGCCTAGGCCCTTGGCATGCCTACTTGCAAGCTCGGTACATAAATGTCCGCGCAGGGATACGGGCACGAAATTATCACGAAACCTGTCTTCCAAAAGAGGGCACCAGATCCTGCCTCCCTCGCAAAGTCAGCAGCAAGCGCTTGGATTTGAAGAGGGAGTTGTTCCTCACCTCGAGCCCCCACACCAGTGCCAGGGCCAGACAACAGGGCACGCGCGCGCAGGCAGGTAAACGCGCGCGTGCGGGCTGCGCAAACGTGCACCTGCGCACATCAGGCTGTGCCGTAGCGGGGCGCCCGGGGCGGCCAAGCCGGTGCTGCACCCCTGGCAGCGGGCACGGGGCGGCATGGAAAATAAGGAGGGAATTGCAAGGCAGAGAGGAGGAGGAGGAGGAGGAGGAGGAGGAGGAGGAGGAGGAGGAGGAGGAGGAGGAGGAGGAGGAGGAGGAGGAGGAGGAGGAGGAGGAGGAGGAGGAGGAGGAGGAGGAGGAGGAGGAGGAGGAGAAGGAGGAGGAGGAGGAGAGGAGGAGGAGGAGGAGGAGGAGGGGGTCGTACACGTCCACTGCCCCAGGCCTGGCCCATCCTGGGCCCAGGAGCGGCGACCGGTGTGTACCGCCCTCCTGGCTCGGGGCCGCTGTGACACGTACATCGCTCCCGAGCCCCGATTGGACCAGGCCTGGGGCAGTGGATGCGTTTTTTGTTGTCGTTGTTGTTGTTGTTGTTGTTGTTGTTGTTGTTGTTGTTGTTGTTGTTGTTGTTGTTGTTGTTGTTGATTTTTTTGTTGTTCCGCGCAAAGGCCTGGGGCAGTGGATGCGTACAGTCGGGCCGCCGAAAGAAGGAACGCCAAGTAAGGAACGAAGCCCCGACTTGGCACTGCAAGCGCCTCCGTGCCCCAGGAGGGCAAGGAGGAGCAGCACTGGAGGAACCCAAGGAACATCGAGCCCCTTCCGAACTCAAACTGCTCCTTATTTCAGCGTCCTGGCTGTATAGATCTCGCAGCCCCAGGGGGAGGAGCGCGCGCGCCCTTCCCAGCACCTCCCCGGCCCGCGGCGGCAGCCCCGGAGCCGTCCAGGGTCACCGCCCCCGCAGTTCTCGCTCCCCCCCCACCCCTTCGTTGAGTGCCCCCTCCTCCTCCCCCTCCTCCTCCTCCTCCTCCTCCTGCACGGCGCCCAGGAATCACATCGGGGGCCCCTTTGGGTTGGGCGAAGGAGGGAGGATAGAGCAAACTGCGGGGGGGGGGGCAGCGACAGGTGTCGAAGAAAGCGCCCGGCGGAGGGGCCGCAACCAGCTGCATGCAGCAGATGCTATGCTCACCTTTTTCCCGCCCCCCCTTCGTCCAAGCCAGCTGCCCTCCAGCGGCTCGAGCAAAAAGCGCGCAGGACGTGTTTCCCGTTTGCATGGAGCCCCCAAACCGCTTTCTTCTGAACAAAATCAAGCCGCTGTGAGCCGTGGGCATGGACGAAAGACGAAGAAGACGTGGTGTTACGCGCGGGGGCATGGCAATCTCACGCGAAGACTAACGCAGGCCACGGCACCCTCACGCGAATGTATACGCGGACCGACGAGGCGGCAACACTGTGAGGAGAAAGGGCGCACTTGTGCGCGATCCTACGCAGGTAGCTTTTGAATGTTTGTGCACACGGCATCACTCTTTTACGCAGTCAAGAAACATAGACATTGAGCACCAAGAAGACACTTGCGCCTCATCCAGCAAGGCCGTGGAGAGGGGTGGGAGGAGCAGGTGCAGGGTGCGAGTGATGACAGGAGTGGGGGTCGTCATGGCAGGAGTACGGCAGGAGTAGAGCATGAGGAGGACGATGTGAGCAGGAGCACGAGCAGGAGTACCGTCAGGAGTGCCAGCAAGAACGCGAGTACGAGCAGGACCGCGAGTGTGAGGAGTAGAGGGGGCCGAACGTGGGCAGCGCGAGCGTCGCAGGCGACCCTCCCACTCCTGCCATCCCTCTCACAACGGTGGCATCAATCTGGGCCGTTCCAGGGACCATGAATCCGAACAGGTGGCCACCTCTTGGGAGCGCCTCTTCAACTCAAGCTGGCTTCCGCCGGCGGAGCCGCCCTCCCGTGTTACTTCCGCCAGCCTCTGCCAACCGTCGGCACTCCGCCGCCTGCCGCCGAGGAAGAGCTGCCAGGCTCCCTCGACTCCTCGAAAGACCGAGGCCCTGTCTGGAGAACCCCTCGCATGGCTCCGCCAGCTTCCCCTGGGGACACAGTCGAGGCGTTGACCTAAGGCACCCTAAATAAGGAACGAGGCCCCTATTTTCCATAAGTTGAACTTCGATTTCCGATCGAAAACCCAAGGAAAATCCAAGGCAAGCTGCGAAACAATTAAGGAACACGGAGCCCCTCCCCAACGAAAAGGGTTCCTTCTTCAGGGCCCCGACTGTACTCTTCTCGTCTCAGATCCATGTTGGTTGGTCACGGGGCCCGATGACGGGCCCGAGCGGCCCACATCGAGGGCCTAACGTCAGGACCGACAAAGGTCAGATCGTCGGAGATCTGGGCGGGCATCAGTGCGGGCACAGCCTGGAGTGCGAGCCCACAGGAACGGGGCGAACCCGACGCGGGATGCACGCGCTCGCGTGCAGCGTCTGCTGCTGCGACGCGGACTCCGGGCAGACCTGGCCGCGCATGCGAATCTACACCGCCGGCGGCGCCCATACAATAAAAAGGGCCAACGCGGGGTTTCCAAGAAGGCGTTGGGGGCCTCGTGGAAGCCCGGCCCAGCCTTCGAGACGTCCTCTGGGAAGCCCAGTGAGGTCCCTGAGGCTTCCAAGGAGCCCCCCCTCTCTTGGAAGCCCCCCGCCTCCCCTCGCGCTACTCTGGATGATTTGACGGAGGGTTGCGTCAGTTTTCTGGTGCAAGGGATTTCTCGCGCTCCCGCTGGAGCGCTCCTCGGCTCAGTGTGGATGGCGGCAGTGAGCCCACCGAATGCAGACCAGAAAGCTGGATGGCGGCAGTGAGCTGACCGAAGGCACACACTTCGCTGGAGGCATCCTGCTTGGCGGCGGCATGGCGGCAAGGCCCTCGCTGACGGCAACCTTGTTGCCTCCCGTGGGCGGCTCATGGGCGCCCTCCCGTGGCAAAACACACGCCCCCTCTCGCGCCACAGCCTCGCAGGCGCCGCCAGCACTGGGCGGCTCTGCGGCCCGGGCCGGTCTCCGATGGCCCCTGTGGCCCGGGAAAACGGCCTCATCAGATGGCCGGGATCGCGGAGGGCACCCCAGCCGACGACGAAGACGACGACGACGACGACGGTGGCGGCGGCGGCGGCGGCGACGACGACGACGACGGCGGCAAAGCCGGCGGCGGCGGGCGGCGGGCGACGGCGGGCGGCGGGCGCCAGACAGCGGACAAGAAGACGGCGGGGCGGGTCCTCGTCTGGCTGAAGCGGCGGCGGCCCGTCTGGGGCGCCAAAGGACCCCGAGCCGCTGGCCGCGCCCGCGCCCTCGCTGGCCGCGGCGCCGTCCGCGCCCGCGGCGAGGCGCTCCTGCAGGGCGACGAGATCTACACGCTCACAGCTGACGTTGCAAAACAAAAAGCTCCAACATCGCAAAGCAAAACCCACCGGAGCTGCTAAGCTGCTGTCGAACGATCTGGCGAGTTTAGCTGAGCAGCTCAGGAGGGCCACTGGGGATTTTTCGGGGACATTTTGGGAATGTCACGGTTCTCTGGGTATCGGCGTGCGTTCTAGATTTTCGCCTGCCCTCCCAACGCAAGCGAGAAAGATCGCTTGGACTTCTTGGGGGCGGCTGTCGCATGCAAGCTGTTATCAGGCCACGGATGCGCAAACGAATAAACAATTGCTTGTCGCGGGTGTGCCACTCGCCCACGGTGTCACCACGACAAGCGCCCCGAACACCAACGACGCTGGCCTCAAACGGGCCGGGCCCCAAGGCGCAGACGCGGCGGGTGGCGGCCCCTCGGCGGGGTCGAAATGAGGGGCAACGATAGGGGGGGACTGGCATATGGGGGGATGCATCGACCTGGAATCGGCGATGCATCGCCAACAGATCGGCGATAGGCCCCCGACCATGAATCCGCACCTTCCTGTGCAGGCTAGGGCTATCGGGCCCCCATCGGCGATCCATGGGCGCTTCGGGGCCGATGCATCCCCCCCTGTGCCTTTTCCCCCCTATCGTTGCCCCTGACGAGAGCAATCTACCCTTAGGTCGTGCATGTCCCCCTAAAGGCGGATTTTGAAAGAAAAATCAGAATTACACGCAACATAATAAAATATAGTAAAACATGATCGAGAAATCGCCCCAGATTATTGTTGGAGCACGTCCTCCGACAGGCGGATTCTAAAGGAGAAAGGAACTATACCCCAGAAGTGTTCAAGAATAGTAAAACGCAGTAGAGAAATCGTCCCCCGACTATTTCTGGACTGTCTTGGAAGTTTCCCCTTGTAGAGGGGGGAGGGACAAGGCAGCGGGCGCCAGGCCTCCCTGGTGCGGTGCAGGCAGGTGGCGGCCCCGCCGCGGCGGCGGGCTGCCGCCGCCGCGCGGCCCGCTTCTCAACAGGGAAGAGCGAGCGCCCCGCCACGGCGGCCACGTTTTGCATCCACGCAAATGCGGCCCACGAGCATCCCCAGAGAGGTGGGCGAGTCCACTGGGGGGCGACAGCGAGCTCCACAGCAACTGCACAGTGGAGCCGAGTCAAAGGAGCCGAGCGGCTCGCGCAGCACAGCTGAAAATGTGAGGGCGACCCCGCGCTCTGCAAGCGGAGTCGCGCAATGTGCACGGGGAGAGGACCGTGCCACAGGACCACAAGGCACCGTCGGCTGTGCAGGACAGCTCGGGGCGCGCAGGACAGGGAGGACAGGATGGCCAACGCACAGGAGGAGGAGGACGGCGACACGACGAGATTCGAGGGAGGAGGAATGGGGCAGAGGGGGAGGACGACGACGACAACGACGAGCTCTGACACCTGTCTTCCTCCTCCTTCTCATCAGTTCCTCCCCCGACGGCGGGAAGCGAATGCGCCCCTGTCAACAATGCCGTCAAGAACGGTACTGTTGCCATACCACGACCAGAGCACCACCACCACCACTAAGTCGTGCATCCTGCGGGACGCGTGGGCGGAAGAGCGCGCGACTGGCGACTCTTCAGAAAATCCACAACCGAGAGCGAGCACGCGGAGCACCCCGCGATTGCGAAGCAGGCAGCTGAGCGCAACGCGACTGTGAAGCAGAAGATGAACCGCAACACTGCTGCGATATACAGGAAGAGGGAAACAACAGGGCGAGGGGGGGAGATGAGGACGGGGGAGGTGAAGCCTCAGATGTGCCGCGTCATCTCGTACACCAGAGCAACTTCTTCAAGATGATGAGAATCCGCCTGCAGAGTCGGCCAGTGGCCAAGCGCCCGCCGAACCGAAACACGAATCCGCCCGCGCTCGGGCGGGGATGCTTCGGGGAGGCTTCGGGGAGCGCTTCGGGGATGCTTCGGGGATGGCGGAGACTTTCCTGGGACGTTTCGGGGATGCTCTGGGGATTTCGGCGCCCCCGGGATCCGCGCGGGGATGCTTCGGGGATGTTCTGGGCCTGCCTCGGGCGCGCTCGGTTCGGCCTGCCCACCCTGCGCG